TATTTATTTATTTATTTATTTATTTATTTATTTATTTATTTATTTATTTATTTTACAAATGGGTGTTCTGTGTGTAGGTCACTTGCATGCCAGAAGAGGGCACCAGATCCCAGAATAAATGGTTATGAGCCACCATGTGGTTTCTGGGAATTGAACTCAGAACCCCTGGAAGAGCAGACAGTGCTCTTAACCACTGAACCATCTCTCCAGCTTCTCTTTGATGTTTTTGAAACAGTCTGGATATGTAGCCCAGGCTGGCCTTGAACTCAGGGCCATGAGTTCTTTCTGACTCAACCTCCCAATTGCTAAGCTTATAGGTAGGGACCACTATGTCCTGGAGATTAAGTCCTTTGATCGAGGACACACAGAATATTTTTTTTTTGAGACAGGGTTTTTCTGTGTGGCCTTGGCTGTCCTAGGGCCTGCTCTGTGGACAGGGCTGGCCTTGAACTCACAGAGATCCACCTGCCTCTGTCCTTCCCCCCTGTCCCCCTCAGATTAAAGGTGCGTGCCACCACTGCCCAGGCAGACACATAGAATTTGAAGATTGTGTGTGGGTATGAGAGAGAGATTGTATTTGTACATTCCAGAGTCCTCAGAAGCCAAAAGAAGTCAGATCCCTTGGAGCAGGAGTTACAGGTGTTGGGAAGCTGCTTCCCACGGATGCTGGGAACCACGCCGCAGTCCTCTGCAAGAGCAGCAAGTGCTCTTAACCACTGAGCCATCCTTCCAGCTCAGGCAGGATTTGAACACAGGCAGTCCTCTCCTTACCCGATTCCACCCTAGAGCTCATATTTTGCATGTTCCTTGCTCCCTTCCTCTGTCTGAAGGCTAGGTCCAGGGGACAAACAGGGCTGCACACGGAAAGTTGGCAGATCCATGCCAGGTGGCTCTGGAATGTGCTTCTGGCCTCCATGTGTCTCAGGCAGCCAGAGACTCCCATCAGGCCTGTTTTAGGCCTGACACTGAGCAGTTTGCTGCTGTGGGGATTTCACTGGGGAGGCCCTCAGAGCAGAAGTATCCTATCTGCTCAGAGACCACAAAGTCGGACTGTGTGGGAGTGACAGGGAGGAGGTAAGGCCTGGAGAAGGCTCTTTGAGGACCCCGGGCTCTGTTGTGGTTCGTTCTCTCTCCAAAAGCCATTCCAGGCTGAGTGTGAAGAGGACCTGACTTGGTTAGGAAAGGGCCTACATGGAGCCCTGAGTTCAGCCGCCAGCACCTCGGAAAACAGGCATGGTGGTTTACACCTTGCAGGCCCAGTCATCGTGAAGGGTCAGGAGCTCAAGGTTATCCTCCACCACCTTCATGGCCAGCCTGGACTACATGAGACCCTGTCTCAAACACCAAACAAAAGACCACCATGAACACCCTCAAACCACTGGCCTCTGGTTCTCTCCTCCCAGCCAAGGTCAGGCCAGGCTGCAAGCAGGCAGGTGGAACCCAAGGCTGGTCTGACCGTGTCAGGTACAGAGCACGGGCCGCCGAAGCCCTGCACGGTCTAACACCGATGGCCCCGCTGTGTCATCTGCTTCCACTCCCTTCAGCTTGCCCTGTCTGGAGGAAAAGAAAGCCAGCGTCCGCCAGACCCAGACTGGCTCTGGTTCCAACAGAACCCACTGTTTGTGCTGGAAGGAATTCCAGTCTCAGCCCAGAGCCTGGCTGGGAGTCTGCTGGCAACATCTGGGAGAGAAGGGGACTCAGCTGTCCTTTACTTTTTATGGGCACAGGGACCATTGGCCAAACAAAAACTGTGACATGTAGGCTGGGAGAGATTTCTTTTCTTATCAAATTATTTTTCTGAAAAGTATTTTGTGTCTGACAAGAGTCTTAAAATTTTGGTGACCCAGGCTTGGCCGTGTAGCTCAGTGTTGTTTGCCTTTAATATATGAGCTCCCTGCTCCCCACCCCCCCAAAAAAATAAGGCAGTCTGTTGATAGACTGCCTGCCACACAGCAGGCACTGGGTTGGATTCCCAACACTGTATAAACCAGGCATATGCCTGTCACCCCAGCATTTGGGAGATGGAGGCAGGAGGATCAGAAGTTCAAGGTACACAGTTGAGCAAGTTCAATGCCAGATTGGGATGCTTGAGACCCTGTCAAAAAGAAGAAAGAAAGAAAGAAAGAAAGAAAGAAAGAAAGAAAGAAAGAAAGAAAGAAAGAAAGGAAAGAAAGAAAGGGAGAAAGAAAGAAAAAGGAAAAGGGGTTGGTGAGATCCCATTTAGTAAATGTGCTTTTCACCAAGCCTGGTGGCCTGAATTCAATCCCTGAAACACACGTGGCAGAAGGAAAGAATAGTGACTATGCACATGCTGAATAAATTTTAAAATGTAAAAATCTGTTCTTTAAAAAGAAAGCCTGGTATGGTTTGCTGCAGCACTTGCCCTTAATCCCAGAGGCAAGTGGAGCAGCTGCAACAGGGCAGTACGTGAACTCGATGTCACTAGGGACGAAGTCCAAGCAAGCAAAAGGCAACCATCTTCCTTTTTATCTGGGCTGCTGCCAGAAGGTGCCATCCACACTGGATCTTCCTGCATTCGCAGAGGTGACCAGGACAGCTCTTCAGCTCACACAATTCTAACTTGGGACAAGCTGACAGTAAAATCGACCATGCTAGTGTGTGGCTCGGTGGTAAAGATCATGCAGAACTAGGTCCTGGGTCCCACCTGGAGCGCCACAATGGCTGGGCCTGGAGCCCACCAACGTTCCTGAAGACCCCTCCTGGCTTTCCTTTTCTTTTTTTCTTTTTGTGCTTTGCTTTATTTGTGTGCTGGGTAGTTTTATGTCAGCTTGACACAGGCTAAAGTTATCTGGAAGGAGGGAACCTCAATTAAGAAAATGCTTCCAGCTGAAAGTGGTGGCCCAGGCTTTAATTCCAGCACTCAGGAGGCAGAGGCAGGCGGATCTCTGTGACTTTGAGGCCAGTCTGGTCTATAGAGTGAGTTTCAGGACAGGCAGGATCCCTGTCCCTGGGGAAGGAGGGAGAAGAAGGAAGGAAGGAAGGAAGGAAGGAAGGAAGGAAGGAAGGAAGGAAGGAAGGAAGGAAGGAAAAGGAAGAAAGAAAGGAAAGGAAGGAAAGAAGGAAGAGAGAGAAAGAGAAGGAAGGAAGGAAGAAAAAAAGGAAGAAAGAAGGAAAGAAAGGGAGGAAGGAAAGAAGGAAGGAAGAGAGAGAAAGGGAGAAGGAAGAAAGAAAGGAAGGAAGGAAGAGAAAAAAGGAAGGAAGGAAGAAAAAGGAAGTAAGAAAGAAAGAAAGGGAGGAAGAAAGAAGGAAGAAAAAGGAAGGAAGAAAAAAGAAAGGAAGGAAAAGGAAGGAAGGAAGAAAGAAAGGAAGGAAGAAAAAAGAAAGCAAGGAAGAAAGAAGGTAGGACAGAAGGGAAGAAGGAAGGAATAGAAAGAGCAAAAAGAAAGAGAAAGAAGGAAGGAAGAAGAAAGAAAGAGAAAGAAAGCTTAACAAGCCATGTGGAGCAAGCCAGTAAGCAGCACCCCTCCATGGCCTCTGCCTCAGCTCCTGCCTCCAGGTTCCTGCCCTGTTTGAGTCCCTGCCCTGACTTCCTTCAGGGATGGGCTATGATGGGGAAGTGTAAGCCAAGTAACCCCTTTCCTCTCCTGTTGTTTCTCCTCCTGTCTGGGGGCTGTCCCCCAGCAGCCCACAAAGTCAGGCGGGGTACAGGATGTGGAGTGTGCCTGCCTGGACTGGCCTGTACAGGGATCACACACCCCAGGAGCCAATGCAGGGAGCTAGCTCAACTTTAAATCCAGAGAACAAAGGCTATGTGACCCTTGGGGAGTGGGTAGGAAGCTCCAAGGAGGGGTGTAGATAATTGGTTGGAACTAGGCACTTCATGGGTGCTTGATTTGCATTGAACACACACCCCTATCATATGAACGAGAACACAGTACCTAATTATCTTATAGGCAGAGGGAGGGGAGAGCTAGCAGGGAACTGTGACAAAGGC